CGTGTTCCTCCCATGCGACGCCACCGCCATGTTCGAGCACACGACCGCCCCAGGCAGCAAACTGCAGACGCTCAACTTTGACGCGGAAACCGTCCAAGAGATCTCCCTCGGCGTGCTGCACAACGAATTCGCCACCGTGTTGGAGACCGTCGACGTCTTGGCTGCTTTGTCCCCATAGTAGTCGGACTCGAATGAACTTGAATGCTACGCAGTACCTGCCTGCTCATACTTCATGTGGCATACTACGTAGTACTATAGTAACCTTTAGTGAGTTCAAAGTGATTCTGCCCTCAAACTTAACTTGAAGGGCACTTCTATCTCTCCATCACTGAAGCATATTCCATATTAATAGAAAGTTGGTACACTTGGAATTAATTGCCTGACGATCTTGTTGGTGGGATACCTCTGTCATTTTATACATGGTGGTAAAGATATCCTGTTCGCTGAACCCGTTGACGGAGAACACGTGTTGATCAAGCACGTGAACTCGTCCTTCATCGGCACAACGTTGGAACAGCTCCTCCACACGAACAAGTGGAACGTCCTCGTCATCGCGGGCCTCACGACCTCGCACTGCGTGAGCACCACCGCCGCCGTCCGAATGGCCGGCAACTTGGGCTTCACCGTGTTCCTCCCATGCGACGCCACCGCCATGTTCGAGCACACGACCGCCCCAGGCAGCAAACTGCAGACGCTCAACTTTGACGCGGAAACCGTCCAAGAGATCTCCCTCGGCGTGCTGCACAACGAATTCGCCACCGTGTTGGAGACCGTCGACGTCTTGGCTGCTTTGTCCCCGTAGTGTAGTTGGACTCTAATGACTTAACTTGAAGGGCACTTCTATCTCTCCATAACTGAAGCATACTTCCTCTGTTCCAGGTTACTGGTGCCATTTCGAAATTTAGTTTGTTCCAAGTTACGTAGTGGTGCCATTTGTTTTAGATTGGCTAATTCGATAGTTTTTGTTCATTTACCGACTTTTCATTGGTGAGAAAGCTTAAAAAACACTCAATTTTGGCAAAATTGTATTTCAATTTCCAATCAATGAAGATATCACATGCCAAATTTGAGTAAGAATTGGCTTTTGGGGGACAGTTCAAAGTCAAATGGCACCAGTAACCTGGAACAGAGGAAGTATTCCATATTAATAGTACACTTGGAATTAATTGCCTGACGAATCTTGTTGGTGGGATACCTCTGTCATTTTATACATGGTGGTAAAGATATCCTGTATCAATCAATTTTCAGACAATTCAACAACGAACGCAGAATGGTACTAGTACTAGTAGCAAAGAAGCAAGTCAGGCGGGCAACCAACGGGACCCAGCTAGCCATGTCCGACGAGGCCAAGACGTCCCCTGGCACGAAGAACGAGCAGGAAGCTTCATTGCCCAAGGTGGTTCGCGTGTTTCTCGTGTGTGCGACGTCTATCATGGCTAACCACGCGTGGCAAAACAGGGCCATGGTGACCGACAATCTTTACAACGACACCCAGTCGCCCACGGAGCAGACCATGATCTCCGTGTTTGTATATTTCGCCCTCATGGGAGCCATCTTCCTAGGCGGCGTCGTGGTGAGCAAAGTCACAGTATTTGCTGCGCGCTTCGTGTGAACGTGATGGACGAGCCACGAGAAATAAATACTAGTGACGACCGATGGCCGTGGGTGGCTGTACACCTCGTAGTCTATCGAAATAAAACATCATCATACCGGTACAATAACCAACTGTGGCCATGGTAACGTTAATATGGCAAGCCCAAATGTCCAAAGTGAATTCAAAATCGACACCCCACTTCGCCAGTAATTGCTATCGGTAACGACACAATGGAGCTTAAATAATGCTCACGGGTGAATTACTTTGAGGTTTGTAAGAATTCCTTTCGATCCACACTCGTCAAACTGAACCTTGTTGAGCTGTCGGCTATCTTGGACCCCGCCAGTGTCTCCGGAAAAGTCGTCGTTCTGGATGCGTCGAAGGGTATTTTGAATCGTGTATGTACTGTACGTATTGCCTCAATGGCGGCATGCATCAACACCAGGTCACGATTCTCGGTCTTTAGCTCAACCATTTCGACTTTGGCTGCCATTTCTAAAGTGTCACCAGTTGGTTCCACCCCCGTGACCTCTACGTGGAAGGTGTCCACTTCAAAAGCTGCTGCAGAAGGTTGATAGTGTTTATATTGGTTATGGTGGGTGGTGGGATAATCTACAAATTCGAGTGTACGAGCGTTTGTATTATTAAGGGGAAGTTCCAAGTAGTTTTCAGAAATAGCATGAGCCAATCAAAATCGATTTACCTCTTTGTTTTTTCACGATTTAGAAAAACACGTCAACGACCTCTTTTTCTACTTGGAACGAATTTTTCATTTACTGTTAGCTAAAAATATCTACTTGGAACAGGCCCTAATTCAATTTACGATTGAAGCGTCTTCGGATACCCTCCGTCATCGTTATCCGGATAATAGTTCGACGGTACATACAGCATGTGGGGAATTCATGTGCTCGGGGCAGTGGCACTGGCGCTGTCGCTGCACGTGTTGGCCGCCGCGACAGTCGAGTCCATCGTGTTTGCTGTGATCTTCCTTCTCTTTATCGTGTTTGTCGTGGACGAGTGTCTTCTCCGGTTTCATGGGCGCCATCTCAAGCCGATTGTGCCTCGCGTCGACGGCGTGGCCGTGGTCACTGGCGCGTCGTCGGGCCTGGGTCGTGAAATCGCCTACCTATTGGGCGAGAAGGGGTTCCATCTTGTGCTTGTGGGTCGGTCGAAGGACGGGCTGGAGCGCATCGCCGTGGAGATCCATGACGTGTGGAATGTCAACGTCCACGTGTGCGTTGCGGACCTCGGCATTACCACTGGACCGACCATGGTTGTCGACTTTGTGGCGGCGTTGCACCTCCACATCGACATTCTCGTCAACTGCGCAGGCGGCACGGTCCGCTGTCCCTTTGCGACCTTACCATCCTCCACCATCACCGACCTGATGCAGTTGAACGTGCTCAGCGTCATGTCGCTCTGCCACGCCGTGCTTCCCAGCATGCTGGAGCGCCACTCCGGCCGCATCTTGAACATCGCGTCCATATCAGGCGCGAATGCGATGCCGCTGGCGGCCATGTACGCCGCGTCCAAATCGTTTGTTCTTCGCTTCAGTCAAGGCCTGGCGTACGAAAGTCGCGGCCACGTCGGCGTGACTGCGTTTTGTCCAGGTTAACAAATGGAGATCACATTCACATTAGGTGACCATGGTGAAAAATGTAGGTCCGTTGCGCACTCAGTTTGCCACGACGGCCGGCTCCACCGACGCCATCATGTTCAAGCTCCCGCTTGTCGTGCAAGACACCAAGGAAGCGGCCAAGCGCGCCGTGGCCGCCATGATGGACGGCGACGTCACATCATTCGACTCATGGGCCAGTAAACTGCTCTACTTGGGGGGCTCCACGTTTGCCGAGAGGCGGTTGACGCTCGCATTTAGTGCGTTCTGTTGGAGTGATAGGGATGGGATAAGCGATGCGGTCTGGAATTAACATGACATTACTTGGAAGACTTTTCTAGTTGCGCCACGCGCTGCGCCAGGCGAGCGTTCGCTTCCACGACGTCACCCTTCAACGCCGCGAGTTCCTTCTGGAGCTCGCCGTTCGAGACCAGCAAGTCTTGGCGGATTTGGTAGATAGCGCCAGCACCACCGACGGCGGCACCGACGAAGAACGCAGCAAATCGCTGGCCCAAGGACGATCCATTCTTCTTGGCGGGGGCGGCGGCGGCGGCAGGCGTCGCTTCCGTGGAGAAGCAGCGGCGGATGACGCGAGTGGACGAGGTGCGCAACATGTTTATGAAATAACTTGTGGGGCAAATGTGGGCCAGGGGCATCCGGATACGTGGCTTTAACTGTGGCATCAACATCCGGATATGGCCCAATTTTCATTTATATAGCTCTAGATTTCATTTAAATCTATTTCTTATGTGTTGAAACATCCAGAAAACTCACCAAGGGGTTTTTATATAGTAAAACGAAGAGAACACTGAACATGTGGAATATAATTGTTGGACGAGTTGCATCACGCGTCAGAGAACGATGGGAGTCCAAGTCAATACGACGGAAGCCGGGAATGGGGAACGCCCCAAGCAAGGCCAAACGTGCGTGATGCATTACACTGGCAAGGTACGCCATGATGACGACGTATGTAGATGAGGATTCTCATGGGGATGACTGAGGGTAGTTGGAAGATGGCACGGTGTTTGACTCGTCGTATAAGAAGAACCGCCCATTCCAATTCCCGCTCGGTGTCGGCCGCGTGATTCAAGGTATGCTGCCTCCTCCTCCATTTCATCTGAAACGATCGTGTGTGTCTGTAGGCTGGGACGAAGGCGTGGCGCAAATGTCCAAGGGCGAAAAGGCCGTGTTGACCATCACCGGCGACTACGGCTATGGCGCCCGTGGTGTGCCTGGTGTGATCCCTCCTAACGCCACGTTGATCTTTGAAGTGCATTTGGAAGACTTCAACTAAATCCCTTCCTGGTCCTTGCAAAGTTAGGGTACCATAATGCTAAAACGGCGTCATGGAACCAAACCAGGTGCTTCTCTTCAGATGTATGGCATTCGTAATGGAATGCCTGCGTCATTCAATGCACTTACGTCGGAGCTAAAGAGCGCACCGCAAGAGTATCACATAAACGAGCATGGAATCATAACCACGAGCTTGGAAGAATCTACAAGGTTGTTCATCTATATTGAATGCACTAGTACAACGGCTTGGCAACAGCCTCGCGGAAGGATTGGAACGAGGCCAACCCAGGGTACTGCGCGTGCAACATTGTGGCGCGAAAGCTCGCGTTCGGCGACGCAACAGCCGGCATGGAGGCGGTGTCCACGACCGAAGTCGCGATCGTGTGGAATCCTTGGCGCTGCTTGTGCTTGGGGCTCTTGTCGCAGATCACGTACACCTTGCCGCGGCGGCGCACGGTCTTGCACGAATCGCACATCTTCTTCACGGACGAGCGGACCTTCATGACGATGGAGCTAGATTTGCGTTGTTGGTTGGGAATTGCCTACAAGAACAATCAATTGTCAGAGGTGCGATGTATACATTCCTAGAGGATTGAATTAAATGAGATATAAGAGGTGGCACGAAACTCAAGGCATAGAAATATTAAATTGCACAGGAATATCCGCATTTCCACGTCAATTCACAGTAACTTACCTGTGGAACGAAGATGTCGAAGGACGAGGAAGAGCGCAACTTGTATGTCGTGTACGTGGTCGCGGGGGCGGTGCTGGTGCTTCTCTTAGCCTTTATCATCAAGCTGGCTGCATCTGGAAGCGGTCCTGGCGGAAAGCGCGATGTGATTCTGTTGCTGGGGCCGTGCGGAGGCGGCAAGACAGCTCTGTTCCATCGCCTACGCGACGGACCAACGAAGGTAGACACGGTAACGTCCATGAAGGAAACGCTAGAAACGTTCCCGCTCTTTGATGAAGACGCCGCGACCGTGTCCGTGCTGGACTTTCCAGGACACGAGCGACTGCGCAGCCAAGTGTCGCAGTTCTATCCCATCGCGAAAAAACTCGTGTTTGTCGTCGACGCTACTACAATTGGGGACGCCGCACAAGTTCGAAAAGCTGCCGAGTACGTCTACAACTCTCGTTTTTCTCTCTGATCTTAATGGATTCGTAGGTTTCTGTACGATATCTTCGTGCATCCGAAACTTCACGACAATGGCATTCCCCTCCTCGTTGCGTGCAGCAAGGCTGATATGTCGTCTGCCGCTACGCCCGCAAACATCCAAACCATCTTGGAAGCGGAACTGTACGTCGCTTCTCCATTGGGATGGACGAAGTATCATGCATGATGCTAGGTCGCAGTTGAAGAGCACGCGGGCGTCCCTCGAAACCCACGACGACGACGAGTCCATCCCGCTCGGCCGGGAGAACGTACCCTTTGCGTTTGACGTCGATGCCCCTTGCGAAGTCGTGTTTGAAGGCTACTCGATCCATTCTGCTGACGCCATCGCGCCACTGTTGGACTTTATCCTCCAAGAATAATCACACACACACCCAATGTGCTTTGTTCTCGAAATAGATTTTTTGATTTTTCCTGAAAATCGCAAAAAATAAGAAAGAAAGATATATATATATATATGGAGATTTATACTACCAACGACAGATTAAACTGGAGAGCGTTTTGACGATTATTTTATTACCCCAACAGTGCCAACGTCGTGCCGAGACCATACAAATGGCCAGCGTATTTGCTGGCATTCTCGACCTTGCCGTCGCAGTACAGATCCAGCATCTTGAAGAACACGCCCGCGGTCAACAGCGCATCCGACCCCGCTTGATGCATGGTCCCAATGCGCTCGACTTGCAGATCTTCGGCTAAGCGACTGAGCCCGCCCATCTTGTCGTAGTCAAAGGCCAGGTACTTGAGATCGTACGTCGATGGAAAGTACAGCTGGAAGAGGTCAAAGAACGAGTCTTCGTCCGAAGGAAGCGGCGCGCACGTGAGGATCTTGAGGAGATAGCCAAAGTCATACGACCCTTGGAAGTTCAACCATTTGATGTTCGGTTCGAGCACGAGCCCTGACGGCACGAGCAGTTCGCTACGATCGTTCATGGATCAAGATCGAGATACATGGCGGAGAAGGACGTACCCGAAGCGAGTGACTTCGACGCCGCACTCCTCGTGCTTGGCAAAGTCAATACCCGACTGCTTGAGCAGCTCGATCGAGTTCTCCGCGTACATGTCTTCGCTGAGGCTAAACTTGAAGTTGAACTGCCACACAGGGCAGTCCCGCATGACCGTCCCATCTTCGTGAAAGAACGCCAGGCCCAGCTGGATGATGCGCAAAAGATCCACGTTGCAGCGCAGCGTTTGGTACTGGTACTCTGTGGTGGTGCTGAACGATCCGATCGGACGGGCCACGACCCCCGGGAACTCCGTGTCCATGGCCACGTAGCACTTGCGGCGCACGATCTCCCGCACTTTCTTCATCTCTTCGTCCAGATTACTTGCCCAAACATCGCGGATCTCCACATCTTCCCCCATGTAGCCGCGCATGATGACCTTGTGTGGGTGGAGTCGTCGGCCACCATTATCCGGAATTCTCCAGTTTATCCGGATATGATGTTATAACAGAACAGTTTCCACTGTGTATCCAGATGTTTGTTATAACAATGCGATACTTCACTGACTGTGAACACAACAAGGGGACTTTAGCTCAAGGTACAATGAGTACGTGTATAATCGTACTCTAATCATCCTACACGCAAGGAACTTGAAGTGCTGAATCGCTTATTTGCGTACTAGTACTACGTAGTAATAATAATACCAGATCAATTCGGATATGGTCGCGAATCTTAATTATCCGGATATCTGGAATCGGAATATGGATTGTGACAGGTTTCTATGACCTCAAATCGCAAACGTGGGACAGGTGGACACATCAATACATAGAGGTTTTCATTGCAGGCGAACACAAGATCACCCACAAACAACATGCTGGAGCGGGTGCACCAGAAGCAAATCCACAAGCACGTGCTGGGGACGTGGCTCGAAGAGAGCTATGCGAGCGGCAAGCCCAGGAGCATCAATGACGCCATCCGTTACTGTTCTCTGCACATCGATGGGTTTACAGACAAGAAGATCCGCAGTCAGCGGGCGTGGGTGTCGCGCGCGATTCGGTCGCTGGACTTGGATGAGTACATTTCGCGCAGCAAACCTGCAACTTCGGGTGCCGCAAAGAAACCCAAGATGGTTCTGTTGTCTCCGTCGCCAACCTCGTTAGAAGACATCGAGCGCGAGGTCTCGGAAATCTTGGCCCAGATGCACGACGAGGCAATGCTTAGTTCGTCCACCGATAGCTGGTGTCAGCCCTCGCTGCTACCGACATCACCTCAGTACGTTGATTCGACAGGGACTGCCACGTGGCCTCGACCGCCGCTGCCACCGCTCTATTCCCCTCCCCGCACAGCCTCGTCCGCATTGTCCACCAACTCAGAAAGGCACCACTTCAACCCGTATTATGCAAGAAACATCAGAGAAGGTGACGATCCCACTTCACGATGGTAGATGATCACCCCAACGATGATGGACAAGAAGTCGCCGTGGATGGCTGCATGCATACTGTGATGAGATTTTTAATACACAAAACAACTGTGATCAACGTTATCTGAATCGATTGACTGACTTGGTCTCCTATACAGTGTACGTACATTTGACGGTACAGTATCGTGCAAATCACCCGAATAACGTTATCTGGAAAAGTATACTATACCAAAAGATGTTATATATACAATGCGCGACTGGGCTGAATCAAGCGTTTCGATTGGCAGATATTTGACAGAACGTGATCTGATTGGCTTAGGAGGAAGGAGCCCTTTTTTGAAGTACCACGTAGTATAGTATTGGTATTAATAGTACACATTAATACTACTATTACTACTACTAATACTACTACTAGTATTAGTAGTAGTAAGGGATGTTGTTATCCGGAATAGGTATCCTTTATGGATTTATCCGGATGATACTTGGACGTGTCACGTGTTGATGTACTGTACTACCACCCGCGGTCGACGACAACATGGCATCCTCACTCAGTCTGCAACATGACACCCAGCGGAGACCAACATGAATGGGCGAAGTGCGTGGAAGGCGCCAGCAGCATGTACACACCAGTTCGGGTCGACCATGCATCGAGGGTTGCCGAGTGCTTAGCTGCCAACCACAAGGACGACTGCATATGGACCTCCCATGACGAGTGCGAGGGCATCCGCCGTGCCGCATCTCCCAGTGCGAAGGCGGTCTCATGTGGAGGTGGCCTCAAGCGAAGACGAGCAACGAAAAGGACAGTTGACGACCCCCGACTTTGGAGCGCGGTGGCCTTGACGCCGACTGCCCCTCGCGCGTTTCAATGCCACATGGTGATGTCGTCGTCCTTGCACGAACGAATGTACATCGCTTCGCGCACAAGCGAAGATGGAGCGATGGAATGCGTTTGGAACGACAACACATGCACGTCCAAAGCGTCTTTGGAGGACTGCCGCATCTGGCTCGTCACCATTGACGACCACAGCGCTGTGAAAGTCCACGAAGTTCCGAATGCGTTGCGCTCTTCATTTGCCAATGGCGCAGTCCATCCACATGCTCGTCGTCGCCGTCTGGATATACCCTTGTACCTGTCAGACACAACTTTGATGCCACGAGTCAACGCGATGTCATCGACGCTTCCGCCTACTTCATTGCCCCCTGAGGTCTACACCAGTGACTCGATGGTGATGGCAATCTCCATCTCCGTGGCATGTGTCGTGCTTGTCGCATGGATAGGGTTTCTACTCTACCGACGACGCCAACAAACCGTGTACGAGCATCATCTCGAGAATTTCGAGCGCACGTCCAAGGTTTCCTACGCGCACATGATGGACACGACGCCCGCCCCGCCGCTCAACCTATCGTACCTTGAAGTGTACCGCATCGACTCACAGTATATCACCCTCACGAGCATCCTTGGGTCCGGTGGATATGCGGACGTGTACCTTGGCAGCTTTGGCGGCCAGGACGTGGCCGTCAAGACGATGCTTCAGAACCATCCTACACGCCGCGAGCTTGCCGCGTTCGCCGACGAAATTCAAATCCTCGCCATGTATGTTGTTGAAGTTGGGAATGTTGGTCCTTTTCATCAAATATCGAATGCAGAAATGTTGGTCTTTCTTTCTATGGTTTGATCATTTTGGATTTTGTAGGTTGCACTCGCCGTTCGTTGTCGAGTTTGTCGGTGCGAGCTGGGACGACGGTGCTGTGGAAGGCCTGCAATGTGTGATGGAGTACATGGACCGAGGTGACCTGAAGGAAGTGTTGTCGATGTATGAGCCCGCGCTGTTCCCGTGGACCGAGAAGCTGCATTGCATTCAGAGCATCGCGGAAGGGCTGGCGTACCTGCACGCGTTCCCGATCATTCACAGAGACCTCAAGTCAAGAAACGTGTTGTTGGACTCGGCGAAAGGCACCAAGTTGACTGACTTTGGCGGGTCTCGCGAAGAAACGACGTCGACGATGACTGCCGGCGTCGGCACGTATAGATGGATGGCGCCAGAAGTGTTGCTGTCGCATCGATACACGACTGCCGCCGATGTCTATTCCTTTGGTATACCGACGCCATTGAAAGTGTTCGTGCGTCTGAACGTGATGGATAGGTATGCTGTTGACGGAATTCGACACGCACGATATCCCCTTCGTCCATTTGAAGGCGAAAGATTCAGGGAAGCCCCTGCCCGATGTGACCATCGTGGGCATGCTCATCACGAACGCCGTGGAGATTTCGTTCTCGACTGCCATGCCGCAGTGGCTAGCCGCGCTGGGTCGGCAGTGTGTGTCCCGAGACCCCCTGCACCGACCGACGACTGCCGAGATCACAGACTGCTTGCGTGCGAACATGCAGTTTTAATAATATTTATTATATTAATACTTCACAGTATTAATTTCATTGGGTTTATATAACGTTATACTACAACTACTATTAATAGTACATACAAGATGAAAATATTTTAAAAACAGATCGTTGATTATTCATCACAGGTCATATATTGAAATGTTCTTAAAGCCAGGTTTACGGAATGAAGGTCTATGACTTGCATTCTTTCGATGGTGGTGATAACACCGCCGCGCACCAACTCTCGCCACCAGCTGCACGTGAACATGCCTGCTGCCTGGACATCTTTCCGACCTCCTTCACAGCAGTCCATCTTTACCCCGCCTGCCTCCATCTCTAAGACGCGTTCGTCGTCATCGCCGCTTCCTCCGTTTCCAGAGGACAGGTTCATCGCGCATGGCTCCATCGATGGCCGTGCGTTGGATGCAGCGCACGACGGCGCGGAAGTGATGCTGACCACGATCGAGAAACCACTCCACGAGTAGCCCAACAAACAGTACATGCCTGCATCTCGATTCCTCAACCACGTCGCTGCTTGTAGGACGACACGGCGTCGACTGGAATGCCTGGGCGGCATCAGCCATCCCCATGTACAAGCTACCGTCGGTCTCTTTGACAACATCTCGTCCGTGTGCTTGGTGCAATCCGCCACGTCGAGCGACCATCCATTGCTTCAAGAAGTCATGTACATGCACGGGTACACCGAAGCCCAGGTGCACGACATACCTCTCAACTCCTCTCTCGTCCTACCATGTTCATCCCATGTATATCGTTAGCTTCGAGTGCGAGCCCTGGCGTTGCTCAAAGCTCTGCATGTCCTCCACACGAACTCGATCGTCCACGGCAACCTAACGCTAGACAGTCTCCATGTACGTACGACGACGTCCATCCTATCGACGGACTCCCATACATCCTCGTGATCATGTACCCATCCTAGATGCGTCCCCACAATCATCTTGTGCTGCATGTACCTGGCCAGCTCGATCCATGGTACCCCCAATCCTTTCCCGCGACCGCCAAAGATAAATCCCTCGACATGTACATATATATATATATATATATATATCATGAGAGATTCCTCCTTCACATATATTTATTTTGGAGTAGGTTTAGCTTTGGGGTGGTGCTGTACCTACTGGCCAGTGGCCGCCATCCGTTTGCATCGTCCGCTGCTGCTTCGACCTCTGAGGTCCCCCTGTGACTCATATCACACTCTGTCACATATTGCAATAGTTCATGTTTTATTAGATCTTGTACAACATGGACACTTTGTCCTTCGTAGTTGACAGACTTCCACTGGGCCACCTCTCGTCCAGCGCCCAGCACGTGATCCTCGACTGCCTCGACACATCGTCACGTACGTTTGAATGACTGAGAGGGGCTTTTCATGTACTTTGGGGTAGAATATGTGACACCGTTGGACCTGCTGCAGCGCCAATGGTTCAAAGCATCAATATCATGGGCCGCCATCGCACCCTCGTCGTCATCCCCCCCCGTTAGCATGATGCTGCCGAGGACAAGTGCAATGTCATCGACTGCAGAGAAAGAAACGGTATATATATATATATATATATACTGGTATATATGAGACTTGACTTTGCAGTTGGGTGTATGAGTACATATATTTATATATATATACTAGTTTACTCCAAGTACTAGTATGAGAATTGACTTTGCAATTGGGCGCATGAATGATATATATTTTTATGTATAAATACTAGTATGACAATTGACTTTGCAGCTGGACGTATGAATACACCTATTTATATATATATATATTTATTTATTTATAATCGTAGGAATACATCTATATACTAGTATACTGTTATACATGGGACATTGGAGGTTGGGACATTTGAAGCGAGTGCCATTTACGTTGATGTGTCCGAGACAATAATCGAGTAGATAGGCGACCGTTGTTAAGCGCGTGGGGTTTTTGGGCAATTGACACGTGTGCCATTTACTACATGGGTCGAACCGTGTATTCCATGTATTGAAAAGGATATATATATGCTATTGTTGAGCCAGTGGTTTTTACTTGCTGAGCCAGTGGTGTGTTCTGACATACTTTGTTGTAACGTTATACTAGTATATATACATGTATATATATATATAAATATATATCATATATACTGAGCTAATGATGTGTTCTGACATACTTTGTTGTTGTGTTTACAGTACACGACAATGCACCACATAGTACCAACTTCCAGTGCGAGGTGGACCATATCCCCCGTCGCCAGAAATTTCACACATTCCAACTGTCCTCCCACCACCACCACCACCCATCCGTCCTTGTCCTATGCCGCGTTTGGCCAGTACGAGTCGCCCCCGCCAATGTCCTTGTACTCATCCTTTCCATACACCCCGCCTTCGTCCGGACGTCCTCCACCCGCCTCTTCCTTGGGCCGCGACTTGGCTCGATCCATGCTCGCATGTCCGTCGCCAGCGATCACATCGCTCCTTCCGACTCGGCATCCTCACGAGCAACACGCGTCGACAGACACTCCTAGTACTACTAATACTACTACTACTACGAACGGAACATCCCCGGTATTGCCACGTCACGAACCAACCCACGTGTATCGGCACATTCCGTCCGTGTCCACGTTGCACTCGACACACGCTGTGAAATTCAGCGCGTACGGCCCCCCAGTATGGACACCATACAAGAAGAGTGAATGTGCCAAGAGTGAATGCCGAATCTACATTTGGGCGTATTTGGCGCACCAAGTACACGACATGCGGGAGCTGGCGGCGCTCCAAGTTGAAAGCGGGCGGCTGTCCAAGGGACTCCACGTCGGCTTTGGCGCGACGATCACCATCATGCTCGAGCCCCCCGCGGGGTGGAGCCAACTGGGTGAACTCACCAAGTCCTTGATTTGGTACGATACATATATATATATATATCATATTGTTTGAAAAGGGTCCATTCTCATAGTATTAATTTTTGATACAAAGGGGTTAATTATCAACGTGGATTTTTCGATGGAGTATCATCGTCCTATATATATATATAAATATATACTAACTATATCATGTCACCGATGATGGAAATATGTCACCCCTGTAAAAATATGGAAAAGGGTTAAGTATCATTGTTTTCATGGAAGAACAAGTATGTATACCGAGTACTCGTTTATTTTTAGTTGTATCTTTTTTTAAATTTTAGGCTGGGTTTTCTCTTTTTTAACAGGTTTTTATGTGAATAATATATATATATATATATAGGATCGAAGAGGTGGATCGGGTATTTTTTGACTTGACGTTGGACGAGGGTACATCTGCGACAGAGGCGACTGGTTTGTGTCGCGCGCGTATTGTAGTGGGGACGCAAGTGGCGATTTTGCACTTTAGTCTGCCCCGTGTCACATATTCGTCCTCATTCCACCCCTCCAAACTCTACGAACATGACAAAGCCGTCGAGTACGCCAGCTCCATGCAAGTTGTGGCCGCCGTCCAGCCGCCGTCCATCCCTCGCCACCACTTGACGTTTATTGAACCCGTCGGCTCGGGCTTCTTTGGTACAGCGTACAAGGCCATGTATCACCCAACCAACCAGGAGGTCAAACTCATACAGAGTATATATATATATATATATCCAATATTTATATATGTCCAATATTTATATATATCCAATATTTATATATATATTCAATATTTATATATATATATCCATATATATATGTCCAATATTTATATATATACATATATTTATATATTTATATATATACATATATCCAATATTTATATATATATATATATATTGGGTTTCGGAGTGGATATACATATGTATGTGTTGTAATGTCGACTACTATTCCATAGTACAACTACTACGCACGATAGGGTGTGTTGTGGCGGTAGATATTCGTACACTAAGTGGATATGTTATGACTAGTACGTACTAGTATGAGACACGTGCATATTTTACACAATACATCCGTTGTTTCCTGTACATGACTACATGTAAGACTGACGATCATTCGGATGAAATATATATATATATATATTGTCCTTTTACCCAAAATTTGGACTTTTGTGCTGATTCGCCAAATCTATCGATCGATACTTTGTACTGATTTTTGGTTGTAAAAAAGAATTGTCCAGCGTCATACTAATTCGATGTTGAATTGGTGAAATAGTGGATGATTTGATTGGCTACTTGATTCGTGTTGTGGGTATTTTGATTGGTCGATCGATTTTTGTCTTCCGATTTGGTCGTGCATTGAGAGCACCAAACACTCGAATTTTATCGACTTGACAATATATATATATATATATAATAATAACTAGGTCGTGGTCAAGTCGTTACGGCAAGGCATGGGCATCTCCCGCGCCGAGTTTGACCACGAAGTCCTG